GTGTGTGTGTGTGTGTGTGTGTGTGTGTGTGTGTGTGTGTGTGTGCCACTGCCCTCTGGTGCACGGCGGCAGGAGAGCTTGGCTGCTCCATAGGGACTGAGGTGTGGGCAACCACCCGCCCATATTCCTAATTAGTGCAAGTGCTCGGGCCCCTACTGACTTCATGGGGGAGCTAGAGCTGTGAAAGTAGTTAAATCTTCACCCCCGTGGGAGTTAGGAAACATAATACCCGTAAAGATCTGTCCCTTTCTGTCTTGTGTTGGTAGAAAATGCCACATGGAAAGAGTGTGCAAGTATGGGGCTCACCCCCTTGTGTTGTCGTTTCATGAGTTGCACATCTCAAAATATCTGGGAGATTCACTGCAAGTGGTGTTGTGATCCTAATGAGCATTTCTAAAGCATGACCTAAAGCATCTCTACCCTTTTGTTCTCTCCAGTTTTGTGCTTCTGGCATGTAACAGACTGACCCCCTTAAGGCTGAAAGGGTTTTACCTAATCCAGTGTTTTGGGATAAAATAAAAGGTTTAGCAGGGTAAATGCATTGGGCTAAATGAAGGGATGATGCAACCTAGTCAGTAATAGTTGTAACTGTCCACTATGGACATCAGTGACAGGAAACCTGTGAAAATCAGCTAAAATCTCAAAAAATGTTTAGGATCAGCTATGCTGCCCCAACCCCCTGTAAGAAGGATAGTTCTGCTTGCTATACAGAGCAGGGTGCTTACCTCATCTAGAGCTCCTCCCTCTCTCCTAGAGCTGCTATGCTCCTTATGGATTTATTGAGGCAATTAAGATAACACAGCCACTCTCAGTATACGGATTTGCTATTTTTCCATTAAAGCTAGATTTCAGGTATTTCTGTCTCTCAGTGTAATACTAGTGACCATCAAATCTCAACAGACACTTCTTTTTTGGAATTTGCTCCCAGTGAGATTAGTGTGAATTTTGCCACTCGGAACATGCCAGTGTCAAGTGCTTTTGAATTATAGTTGGGTGACCTTAGCTGTATTTCACAAATAAATAACTTTTCTCTCTAAAAATGCAGCCTTTTCAACTGTGCGTCAAGTTCCAAGAGTTAGTCTCATGGTTTTGAAAACTTAAATTTGATAACACAGTGGAAAAAGTTCTGTAGCCCTTTCTGCTGAAGGAGGGTAATTAGGAGGAAATGACTGCCTTGGTTTGTTTCCATCTCTGACTTCTTTAGGCTTGTCTATTTGAGTCTGTTTAAACAGTGCATGAACCACCTCATATGGATAAGCCTAATAAAAAAACCTCTCAAGTATATATATGAAGTTTCACATAATTTATATAGAAATTATTTATTGCTAGGGGATAATTTTAAGCTTTTATCTTAACTCATACACAGGGGAGGTAGGCTAAACCCCAAACCTTAAGTTGTGATTCTTTTCTAGTTATTAAAAAAAATAATAATAATTGTAGGGGCTGACAAATATTTCTCTGATATTAAGGATGTGCCATTTGCAAGTAAAATGTCATCTCCATTTTAGTCACTGGCCACAGGAGCTCAGCTGGGGCCCTGAATGCCAAGCTGAGAGCTTTTTTTTCACCATAATGAAGGTCTTGTAGGGTAAACTCCAATTCCTTTGATGGGTTTACACGAATGCAAAGATTTGTTCTTTGCAATGCTGTTGATGATATACAACAAAGGTAGTTCTTTAGTCATGCTCACCCTGCACTGTCTTCTGTGTGTTTGCATGTGTGAGTGTATTTATATGGGTATGTGCATGAATATACACAGATAAATGAAATGTGAGGATATATGTAGTACAGACACCTGAGTTTCACACCTATTTGTGCACGTATCCAATATTAATCTGAGGTTGACATAGAAAGAGTCAGAAAAAGCCCCTGAAAGCTTATTTAAAAAAATCTTCCTGGGGCTCTGGTATCTCACCCAGTCAGATGCACTAATTTTACCAAAGAATAATTATAAAATGAAAACCTATGCTAATTCTTAAATACAATCCCTGCTTCTTTAGCTTTTATTTGCTTCACTTTGAAATAATACACTGTAATCTTTCTACTTCTTAAAAACTTTATCTCTAAACTGTGGCACCCAAGTAGGTGGCCTAGCTAATACTTCCTTTTCCCCAGCCAGATACACTGGGAAGAGGTAGCAGACTGTACCTTCAGGAGATTCAAGAAATTTGCTGGATAGTTTTCCTTGGGTTATCATCACATGTCAAAGATGATGTCCATACAGAGTGTAGATTTCCTAACGATGCAGCATCCTTGGAAAGAAAATTTTTTCCTTAGTTTACTCACTTGGTGTGAATAAAGAAGTCCACGGGGAAGGGATCAGTACTTTAAGAAAATACTTCTACTTGCAGTTACCAAGTTCCTGCCTCCTCTCTACCCTTTCAAAATTCACCATAAATAAGAGGTTGTGGTAAAGTGTCTCAATTCGTGTTCTGCAAGTGCAGTATCCTCTGGGTGAAGTGATACAGCTAAGTTATATTATGTCCAGTTCTGTGTTTGAATACCAGTACAGACAGCCACTTGCACAGACACGCGCACATGTGCCAAGAGAGTGTCTTGTGTTCATTTTATTTTTTTTTTAAGATATGACACTTCAATTTTTCTTTCCTTTCCTTTTTCAAGGACTTAATTTCTGCACAGTAGAGCTCATGGGCAAACACTAAATGCAAAATGAGGAATGCAGTCATGGTTCTAAGTTACATTTCACATTCTTCAAACTGATGCCAGTTGTACTCATTGACAGTAATCCTGTCTAATCCCTTCCACATGTATTATCTTTGTACACCTGCTTTCATTGTCTCACTTATCAGTTCTTAACACTTAGAACCACGATACACAAGAAGGCAAAGCAGCAGAACAAAGTATATATGCACACACAGTGCGCTATGCTACAGCTTTGCATTGTAGACATAAAACATATTTGTAGATTTTGGTGCTTAGAGTCAACATCTTCCATTAAGATATTTTTCCTACTTCCTCCCCCAACACCAACTGATGTATGTCTGTGTTTGTCTTTCTTGGCAGATTAACTGAAGCACATCGAACAGCTGTAAAAGTCATCAGGAGAATGCAGTATTTTGTAGCCAGAAGAAAATTTCAGGTAAGCAGCATGATTAATCATAAGTACAATTGCTGTAAGCTTAAGTATATGACATAGAAAGTGCTCTCAGAGTGCTCTCAAAGTCTTTGTGCATGCAGCACTAAGTCAAAGGCATTCTTTAGGTTCTTGGCCTTATACTTACCTTACGTGGATTTTTTTTGTGGTGTGGGCAAAACTGTAAACTATTCATGGGTATAGTATGATACAAAGACCTGCATTTGTGGAGTCAGCATGGTTATTTTTCACTTCTCTTTTCTTGTTTCTTGGGGTTCTATTCGTTTTACTACACTGACCAATACTTACCCTTCTACTAGAAGAAGTGAAGAAAACACTCTGCTGGAGTGTCTGCAAGAACACTGTTACTGTCCACGCTGATCATAATGACTAGTTAGAGGATGCTCAGTTGTGTGCTGTGGATGGCTGACGGATCAATAGGCCTCACTGATGAGTACTATGCTGTGTAAAGTTGCTTTCACATTTGTGACCCACATTTCCAAATTGGTTTCCCAGAAAAGGACATCATAGACCGTATTTTGTAAAACTGGGGAGCATTGGCCCTCTGGGAATTTGCCGTCTTTATGGAGGGTTAAGTTAATTTTCTCATTCATTTTACAATGTTCTCAGACTAAATGTACTGCATTGGAAATACTGTTATATTTTGCCTGTTTGCTGAGGCTTCTTACGATAAAACTTTTTTGGGCTGGGATTCTGATATCATCGTTCTCACCACCCATGTGCTGGAAATGCCATGGAAATGAAAAATTAGCTTCTAGACTGATTTTCAAAGCCCCTGTTGTTTCCATTTAAGAGTCTTGCTTTTTTTGTCTGAGAGGATCCACTGCAAGTTAATGAACTTTCATAATCCTTTGGAAGAGGTTTTAAAAGCATAAATCAAGAACCTACATTTCAGGGAAGTTTGATTAGAGCTGAGCACTTAATTGCAAGGGATAAAAGTCTGAGATAAGCTCACAGCACTCAGAAGACTCTGAATTATGGCAGACAGAATAGCATATACATTTCCCAAGCTCATGCAGACGTATCTTCAGATGACCCTACCTTTTGAAAGAAGGTTGGGGGAAATCGGTTTATTTAACTTGGAAAAAAACCAGGAGAACAGGATTATATTGTAAATATACCGGAGAGATAAACAGTATGGGAAATTAAAAAAAAAAAAAAAAATTAAAGACACCATTTCTCAAAAATAAAATCATTTTATAAATTATTTAGGTTAAAAATTAGTATATTTCAAACCACCAGAGACCTAATGTTCTGGAGCTGTCAGCCAACAGCGGTCCTACCAGACCTCACAAACTGAACTTGGTCAGTCTATGGAGAGAATTCTATGAGCTGGTGTTAGTGACAGGGAAAAAGAAGATGAAGGAACGATCTTCTGTTTCTTTCTTGGGGCCATGAAATACAGTTTATAGGACTCCCTATGCTAATTAGATTTTGGAAGTTCAAAGCTGGGTAATATTATTTAGAGTTTTGCCTTAGGAGCTCTAAGCACACTGAATGTGGACTGCTGAGCTCAAATGGCCAGGATTTGGGATTATGGGCAGAATGGAAGTTAAAGGAGTTGCTCAAGTTCTGCATTTACCACACTTCCCTGGAAGGCAATTGCCTCCTGGCTTAAGTTGTATTGTACTAGCATTTTCTAATAAAAACATAAGAGATTGGGCCAAAGTTTGGCTGGACGTTAGATGCTCAGATCTAAAGCTTTATAGGAAAAGAGGAGATACAAATGGTGAAAGCTGGAAGGATATTTTTACAAAGCTTTACAGAGGACTCAGGCAGATTGCAGTGTACAGTACTTTGCAACTGTTCAATTTAGAGCTGATGATTTGGTAAAAGGGATAACAGATAGAGGACTTCTTTTGGGGGAGAAATTTCATTACTATTGAGTAGAATTAATTATGCTCATAGTAGCCCATGGGGGAGAGGGGAGTGCAAAAATCCCCAGGACATCTAGGCTCTGTGCCATGCATCGTGTTTAAATAGAGAGTGTTCAAAGGAAAGGACGGAGAATTTAGCCAAAAGGTTCTCAAAGCACCTCCACTAGTCAATCTAAAGAGTGATACTGGCACTGTTTCTCGGGGTGAAGACAATAGGCTGCTTTTCTGGCCAGAAATAGTGATGTGTCAGCGTCTGCAAAATGTGAAGCTGGGGAAGAAAAAAAAAAAAGGCGATAAACTGAAAACTGAAACCTCCCTCCCCTCGCAAAGTATCTCCTCTCACAAATGCACACAAATGCACGCAAATGTGCACACACACACTACCAAAGCCACGAACTCTTCTGAAAGTAATAATGCAGGTAAGTGCTGAGTGCAAGGAAGGCATTTTGTCACGAAGAGCTTTTCCTTCTTCATTCATTTCACAGGATTTGTTTCCATTCCAGTTCCATGCTTTCATTTGAAATTTCTAGGATCCTGTGGCTGCCTTCCAAGCATGACTCCAGCACATACTGTAGGTGTTCAATGCATGTGTGCAGTGGTGCATGCTAATGGCTTTGGCTGAAGCTGTGACAGAGTGGAAACAGACAACAAGATGACTAATGAGCTGTTTTCAGTAATTTCCAATTACTAGATTTGCAGTTTACCTTTGCCTTTTTTTTTTTTCTTCTTTTCTTGAGTCAGAGCCAAAGGGAAGACATCTTGGCCCACATTTCCCATAGGGGTTGGTATGGCTCTCAAAATGCCGAAATTTTCAAAAAGACAAAATTTGTGTTTATTCCACCACACACACATTGATTTTACTTGCTAAAATTTTAGTGTGCTGCACTTTTTATAATCACATCACTTTATGCAAATTCTCTAGACTTGTTTCAAAATTCTGCCATAATAGTTGCAGCAAGAAACCAAAGCTTGGCAGAAGCATCTGGATTCTCATTAGAATGGGAATAAAGCTGGGCAGATGGCAGTTTTTTCACTCCCTTGCATTTTTTATCTGTCCTTTTTTATTTGAGTTGCACTTTTTTTTCTGACCTCGTAGGTATCATGAAAGTGAAAGAAGCGCAAACAAAATCCACATGCAGCAGTCTTCTGACTTATGCAAAGCATCTGTCTTCCCAGTTCCTTAAACAGCAATATTTCTGTCACCAGACATCTTTAGTCTCTAGAGACGTTTGATTCTGGGTCCAAGTGTTATGAATTGGGCCTGTTCCTGTGGTTCAGTCCTCTGACATTATGATTATCATATGGTTTTGGAATGAGCCAAGAGATACCGCACATGATAGTCTTAGATAAATTATATATCTTGGTTTTGTGTTTTTCAAATACACTGTAAAGGTCTAATATTTTGTTCAGTATGAAGTAACATGAAGACATGACTCTAACTGACAGTAATGGGAATCATTTGGCTCCATCTCCACAGTAAATATGCACTCCTACAACAGCTACGTATTTTTTATTCATTACAACAACTGTTGCAAAATGGCAAGCAAATAACCTCTGGAAGATAAAAAAAATAGAATGAAGGCCCATCTGAAATAAAAATCAAGTTTAAACAATACTTACCTTTCAATCTCTTGACTCTTTTCACAGCAAGCTCGGAAACCTTACGACGTCCGCGACGTGATCGAACAGTACTCGCAAGGACACCTCAATATGATGGTTCGGATAAAAGAACTTCAAAGAAGGTAGTCCCTGTCTACCTCATGAAATATTTGATTTCTCTAGTGCCAGCTGGCTTTAGGAGAGATGTGTACTTAATGAACAGTAATTGTCTGAAATTGCAAGCGCAACGGGGAGCACAATATCTAGAGGATTTAGCTTGGAGTCATTTTTAACCCTTTTTATGACCAGGCTTACAATTGTCCTTTATTCTCCTCTCCTCTGTCTCTAAGTGAAATTAAAAGAAACAAAGGTACATGCTGTGAAATTTATAGTATGAAGCAAGTTTTTCTGTCCTCTCCTTAGAAAAGGAAAGCTCTTCAAATAATGATTTGTCTTTCTGTTCCCACTCTCTGGTTCTCCACAATTGAGAGAAATCTGGTTTGCTGTTTCCCTCTCTATCTGGAAATTTTCCCTTCCTACATTCCTCCATGCACATGCTTTCTCTGAGTTTTGGATTTGCAGTTGAAATATTTTGCCACAAAACTATTCTCTTCTGTTTCAGCACAAAGTGCTTTTCTCTTTACAAATTAACGCTGTGGACTGGGACACCAGAATGAACTTCTCTGACCCTTAAATTAAATGAAAGAAAAAAAATCCTGTTGAATGGAATCTACTGTGTCAACATATATAGATATTAAATCTGCCTGTATGAGATTCAAGGAATAGTTGCAAATGTTATTAAGAAGCTATTCTGTTTGTATAGTCTTTGTTATTAGATTATATAAGACACAAGAGAACTATGTTTTAGTTACAACTTGAAAGTCTAAGAAATATTAGTACTCAAGAAAATAACAATAATAATATGTTTCGATTTTGGAGAAAAAACTCTAAAGAACTAAACTGCTGACTGTATATACAGAAAGTCATACTAGTCTCGTGTTTTTACTTGTTTTGGTTTAGGTTTGAAGCTACTGTAAATTCTCATGTAAATTATGCTCCCATGCTTTTTCTAGCAACAGAGTTTAAGTTGCTTGGTAATTGCACTGCTGGTAATTCTCTGTTTGCTTTTCAGATTGGACCAATCCTTGGGAAAGCCAGGTCTCTTCCTCCCAGGTATAGTGACTGCATTTTATGTAAAATTATTAGCTTCATAACTTTGTGAAAATACCATTGGCTTCAGATTTATAATCCAGCTAATTATACATTAATATAATTCTGTTAATAAGCTTTGGAATGCCTATGTAAAGATAAATATGTTGCATTTAAGTGGTAGTGGAGCAAATGGAAAGTAAGAATAAATGTTAGAATGTGTATCAGTGCACGATGAGTTGGAAATATATCACAGGAAATTCTTCCACAAAAATATACTTTCTAAATCTTTCATGCTGGGATTAGAATATATGTTGATTCCACTTAACAGGTTCTTTTCCTTTTTGAATGACCTATAGATTTCAGTTCTGGAAAGCTCAAAGGAAGATTGTGGGTCTCACTCAGGAAGAACTGGGGTAAATTTGAAAGCTAGAATGATAGAAGTGGTATGAAATTCATCATAAAAAAATACAAGGTCAGGCACAGGGAAACCAATAAAAAAAATCTCATACGTGGTCATGTTGGTGAACAGTTTGGCATGTCTAAGAAAAGGAAAGGCCTGGTTTGCTAATTAATTGTAGGCAAATGCAACTGAATGTAATGGCCACGCACAGCAGTGATATTCTGGGAAAATCTTGTGGTGGGAATCGTGGAGATCAGAAACCTGAGCTCTTGATGGGGAAAACTGAAAGAAGCGTTTATTTTTTTTCCAAAAGAAGTTGATTTCAAATTTCAGGGGCCCTGTCTCGTCCTCTGTCCCTAAAAGCTCAAAAGTGGCTTAGGAACTGAAGCCTCATATCCCCAAGTGACTTTCAGCACTCACAGCCATAAGTGTAATTGAGAGTGGCAAAGTTATTTCAGAGTCTTTAAAAAATTACATATTATCAGTAGTTAATATTAACAGAACAAGGAATATCTCTCAAAACACCTTTTCAACATCTGATTGCTGCAGAAGACTCAGTAGTGTGATCTTCTTTCCCTGTAGCTGTGCTGGTTTTGGACCACAGGAAAATAATCTGTCAGCTTGAATACTTCTATAAATATTTATACTTGGGAATTCATTCTGCAATGTTCAAGCTAAAATTATGGAAAAACTTCCCTTACCTCCAAGAATGTATTATTTGATTTCAAAGGTAGCATTACCAAATTAGAACTGTAATTTGTTCTCAAAAAGACTAGTGTTAGAAACACTTTTTATGAAACAGTGTCTTGTTTCAGAGGAGAGGAATAATTAGAAGTGTTGGCTGCAAAGAAGCTAATTGTGAAATAATGTTCTGAGAGGTTTAAGAAGCTGAAGATGTTCAGGAAGTTTACTGTCACCAAATCTTGAGTCAAAATGGTCATGGTAACCACTGGGAGGGTCTTAGGTAGATCTGTGGATTTGAACAAGTGTTCAAGTGTTGAAAAGAGTCTAAAGTACCAAGGAAGAGCCATGGGGTTGTGTCCATGATTGATTCATGGATGATCCACCTGTAGGCCTGAAGTTACACAGCAGCTTCCTGCAGAGGTAGCCTGTAAATACAGCTCCAGATGATTAAAGTCAAAATCTGTCGCACATTTTTTATGGTTCATTATAACTTTTTATTGAAAACTCTTCCTTTGATTTACTATGAGAAAAATGTTGACCTAGGCTCATCTTCAGAATTCATGATGGGAAGCCTTACTGTGGGAAGTATCACAATACTTCTGAGTTATTTGGGAAAGCCATAATCTGTGCTCTGGAGGAGATTATGGCATCCGTGTTCATACAACTACTTTCCCTTGTTAAGTCTTTTCTTGCAGCATTACTGTTGAATAGCTCCTTGGAGACAGCTCTCTTAGATGCACAAGCATGGTGGCCCTGCTAAGAATGATGTCTGCCTCCACAGCATGCCTTAAATGGACTGAATAAATGCTGACTGGGAAAGGTAAAATGGTTGTAAGGGATGCAAAAGCTGTTAAGCTCAGTTATGGGTTTGCAAGACCAAAACCAAAGTTAATTGATGTAGTAGTTATTTTATCTAGAGCCTCCACAAATCCAAAAATAAGATAAGTGGTTCCAGATAAATGGTCTGCAGAACTAAATCTGGAGTTAGTTTACAATTACTCCCAGTGTTATCCAACCTGCCCTTACTGCCAGTATTATCCAAGTGATGAACAGTGATGGGTGGTTACAGTATTTGTCTGTTTTGGGTGAAAACAGACTCTTGCATTACCCTTCTCCTCTGGCAAAGGAGTTCTTCCTGAGTTTTCCTCAGAATTCATGGCTAATTCTACACTGAAAATGTATTTTCAATATGATACTTACACTTTTCCAGGCATTGCTAAAAACCTCATTTGTAACAGTTATGGTGTTTCCGCCAGACTGTGTTATTTTTGTATTGATTGCAAGCAAAAGAGAAACGACAATGCAAACAAAATTAAACTGCCAAGGATAAAAACATGAGAAGAATTTTCCTTTAAAGCTCTTTTTTTCCCCCCTGTTTTATTATACTCCTATTCAAAGAATCTTAAGGTCTGATTCCAAGCCCGTTGAAATAAAAGGGAGTCTTTCCAGTGACCTCAGTAGGTTTTAGATCAGGCTGTTGTTGAAACCCTGTTGTCAACTTTGATAATATAAAGTAATTGCAGTGTGTCTATAGTATTATTACCTTTCAAAAGTGAATGATGTCATAAAAGATCCAGAATCTGAATTCACTGGAAGCAATTATTGTTATTTTTCAAGTTAGTTTCTCAAAGATAAAAAGCACTAAAAACTGTGTTAAAACAAGATAAGGATACAAGAACAGAATAAAAGCCATGCTGGGTCAGACCAGTCTTGACTCTGATGGAGCCAAAAGCAAGGCTCTTTGGGAAATGTGTAAAAAAAGGCTATGCATAAGCCTCTAAGCTTCCTGTAAGCTTTCAGCCATTTGCAGATCAGAGACTTCCTGACATGGTTTCAGTGCATACAGTAGTACTAAATAGTGTGTTCTCAACACACTTTCCTAGAGACCCCTATAAACGTTTAACATCTGAAATATTTTGTAAAAAGAATTTTCATGGTTTAAGTTTTACATACACATATGGTGAGAAATTCTACCTTTTTGGTTGTTTTGCTCCTAGTACCTACTAGTTTTCTTTGAAACTCCTACTATCAGGAGTGGATTTAAAAACATAAAGATAATGGAAAAATTTTCCAAATACCTGAATCCCATTGTTATGGGTATACCCAGAAGACCGTGTCTTATTTTCATGGAAAGCCTGTCCCACTGCTCCCAGATGACACAATTTTGTAAGATGACACACATTCTTGTGATAATATACACGTTAATAATTTGAAAGTGTTGATGCAGAGGCAAAGCACATATTAATAAAATTATTGAATTAACAAAGTAGACACTTATATAATGATACAAATAAAAAGAGTGTAATACTTGACCTTCACTACACGTAATGGAGTTAACTGCTTCTGATTGCAATTTTTGAGACTTACTATAGATTTTCAGGGGCAAAGGTGAAGAATAATGCCAAGGTAAAACAAAAGGTCCAGTGTTTGGATTCAGAAAAGTACACGAAAAGCTGATATTTATCTGCAGTTCATCTGAACCTCTTGGGTCTGCATAACACTGGTGGGAATCCCTGGAGGAAAGAGCTTCCTTGTAAAATTTTGACAGTTCCATTATTTGCTTTTTTTCCCATGAAATGCCACCTAAGCTTTCTGATAGCTTTTCCTTCCCATCTGTTAAGAAGAAATTGGGCCATAGTATCTTTTAAAACATAATAAATATGCTTGGTTTAATTTTTATCTTTTTGAGTCAATTAATATTTGAAATAGGAGATACTCATATTTCTGCAAGAACTGATTTATTCCACTCCTCCTGGAGACAAAATCAGTGGGAACTTGGTCAAAACCAGAAACCACATAGGATATTTACTGTAGCTGTCAGGTGTTCACAATCTTGTTTCTGGAAGTTCATTTCATTGCTGGAGTTGATCTACCTCAATACAAAGAGCCAGCAGAAATATCACTTATATCCTATTCTGAGGGTTTGGAATTTGCAGCTAATTTACTGCACATTTAGGTCCTCTGAACAGTCTTGAACTGCATTCTTAATAAAGACTTAAAGAAGCTTGCATTTAATTTTTAAATTGGTGTATTAATTGTTTTATACATAGTGTAATGGTAGTGTGTCTAAATCCTACCATCAGCATCTTCGGGAGGAAGGGCAGAAGTGTGATATGGTTCTTTAACAAATGCAGTGAGCAAAGCTTGTCCCTAATAAGTTTTATTTATTGTTCTTTGTGAGTCACTTGAGCAAATTGTGTCATCTCAGAGGTTGGATAAGTGGAGCAGGTAGACAGACAGACCTTTTTGTTAAGGGCTGTCTTATATGTTGAGAGGTGATTGCATGTCTTTAACCAGGCAAAGTACTCACTGCAGCTAGATTTTTGTGACTTGAAAAAGCTATAAATTTCTACTCCCAGTGTATACTGTTTAACCTTCATCATGGAACAGTTAACTCTATGGCAAAGATTCCGTATTGCAGTAGTTTCTGTGTTCAGTAGTTTACTTTTTAGGCTGTCCAAAGGAAAACACAAGTGTCTGATCCAGGACTATGTTTTACCTTTTTTCAATTTCTTCTACTGATCAGTTCTGAAAGGCTCTGTCTGACAAGAAAAGAGACTCAAACCAAAAGTCGTGATTTGCTTTTTTATGGATCTGGGTCTTAAAAGAACAGTCCTGACTTCCATTTTCAGAAGCACTCTCTTTACAAACCTAAGAATCTGCAACTTGCCCTGAGCTCATCACAGTTATCCCTACGTGGAACTTTTGCAGAACTGGAACAAACACAGATCCAGAAAGCTGTATTTGCATTGTTAGCCAAAAGAAGTCATGGTGTCTCTTGGGCTGTTCTGCTTTCTAAAATAGAATTTGCAAGGTTTTGACATATCTTTAGCAGTCTGGAATATCCTTGGTGTCACAGTGCTCATATTCCTCATTTTCTGCTTAAAAGAAATCGACTGTTTTCAAATAAATTGTAATATTTTTCAGTTAGCTCCCTTCTATCTGTGTACACCGTGAAAGTAAAAATCAAGAAAGGACTCTTCTTCTGTCCAAGCAGTCATTTCCAGCTTTAATAATTTTGAGACCATCTGTCTGCAATTCATCCACTGTCCTAATGCTCCCTGTAATTATTTTTTCTAACCAAAGGAAAAAAATTTGTTTTATTTAAAGTTTTGGGTTTTTTGTTTTTTGGGGTTTTTTTGTATAGTCTGATGAGATGGAGGACACTAACTGTGTTAAAAATTAAGAATATGGTGCAGTCCCTCATTTTATTTGCTTTCTTCCTCCTACTTATATCATTACATGTTATTTATATCACATGGTTCCATCTGGGGAAAGAGTCCCCACCTGCTGAACTGACGTGGAGCATATCTAAAATTTTTAACTTTTTCTTTTTTTTTTTTTACAAGAGGCTTCTCTTGTTCTTCACCAGGAAAGGAGATGGGCCAGATTTATGAAAATATTAGAAAATGAATACAGGTTTGTGTTGTTTCGAAAGTAGAATAGCATGTGTATTCAGGAAGGCAAAGGCTTTCAGGAAAGAAATTTCTACATTAATAAATATGAGAAATGGACTAGATGACTCAACAAGTATTCAGTCTCCTGAACTATAAAGCCTAGTGCTTATATACCTGTGTTTTCTCTGATTCGAAACTAAGTATATAAAATGATGGGTTAGTATCATACCAGCTATGTTACACAAGCTTGTTGGAAGATATTTCTTTTTTATTTCTGAGCTAAAACTTGTCCATATGTATTTTCATCCAGTTGTAAATAATTGTGCTTCATTCCATTAAGATCATGCAAATGTAGTCTTGTGTTTTGTGCCTTTCCCGTACATATTACTGGATTGCTTAGCTGATCTATCTGTTTTCTGAAGCCCAACAAGAAGAACAGAAAAAAGTCAATACTAAAAGAAAGTTATTTTCATTTGCCAAGCAAAGACTGTAGAAATTGGGATATTTCAGATTTATAGTTAGCCCTGCAATTTTTTCAACTGTGTAAAAGCAAATAATCCAATATAGGAAGTCTAAAATTATATATCTTGAAAATTATATATCTTGAAAAGACTCAAGAGAGAAAACATAAACATGAGATAGAAATCAAATGTGCTGGAGCAACATTATCTGAACTTCTGCTCACCCTTCCTACAACAAGGTTGAGCACATTGTACACACACCACACTTACTTTAAACGATGGTCTTTATTAGAAGAAAATGCTTGTAAATTAGAGCTGAATGCTGTTTTGTATGGAGGCTAATAAGAAGTTGGGAAAGACCACATTTTGTGACTTATACAATCTGCATGCCAATAAAGGGGTGGACGAGATACAGCTGCGTGCATGTGTATCATTCTTTTCACTTCATCTGATGAGAGTGCCACATACCACAAAACAGCTTCTAACTGCTTATCTGCTTCCTATTTTCTTGTTTTCTGTTCCACACAACATTTAAGAATAACTAAAATAGGAAACATTATTAACTTGGTTTGCTTGGTTTGTGATGTCTGAGGGATTATCTGATGGATGTAATTAGTGCTGGTGAGGAAACTATTATTTTATTTTATTATTATATTAAAAAAAAACCAAACATGCTTTTTGAAATATTTCTTCGTGTTTGGGGGACTTTTTGGGTTTAGACCCAAACAAAAACACTACCTACCCACTGCTGTTCAAATCACATCCTAATTTAGAAATCCTTGAAGGCATGTTTTTTTCTGATATCTACTTTGGAAGATTTGTCTATGGATTTGCTAACTAGAAAGTAGACTGCAGAATCAATTATTTCATTTTAGGCTGAGATGAATACAGATAAACTTGAGCCTCAACCACTTATATTTTAAGAGGTTTCTGAGGTTGTGAATGATGAATAGCACACATGTATAAGCCAAGCTGTGTCATTTATTGTCTGTCCCCACACAGTGTCCTTGAAAAATCTTTGAATTTTCTCTCCTTATTGTGTTTGTTCCTACAGGTTCTCTGATGAAACACTTCTCTTTTCTAATCCTGCACAGAGCTGCCAAGGCTCCATGACCTTTTAAATATTTTAGGTGGTCTGTAGAGGAGAAGGGAAGCACAAAAAGTACTCTTGCCAGTACTGCTTTTTTGCTAAAGATTTCCCCTAAGTTTGGGGTGCATAGAATACAAGTTACCTTGAAGTGAACTTTCATGCAAATACATCACTAAACATGTCACACCAGCAAACATTTGCACTGCTAATGGCAATGGTAAAGCAAGTACTATTCACTGAGAAATGCCAGAATGTGAGTTCTGTGCAGAGTGAGCACACATACAGGCAGTTATGGTGGGCACTGATGCACTGTAAATACGTATCTCGGCCTGTCTTCCAGCAAGCCCTTCACATTGTGCTCACGCCCTAAACAAAATTGAATTAAATAGCTTTAAAAGCCAAAACTCGATGACTCATAAAAATGAAGTAATTTATGAAACTATCAATTACTCCTAGCCATTACTGGAGGTATAGTTTAGTAGAGAAAAATGTATACAAATTCCATTGACATAGGCTAAGTTACTTTAGTATCGGGGCATGGGTTTTTTCTTGTGAATATTTTCTCCCAACTCAGGATATATGTGGGTTTGTGTTTCATTCCTTATGAAATAACACCCCCAAACTATGGCATTCCTTTGCAATAGGCCATGAGAACAGAAAGGATAGACCGCACTTTACACAGTTTTTAATCTTGGCTCCCAATCCCACCATTTGCAGCACGGGAGTGAAACAAAATGCATAACTTGGCTTTAATAACCAGGTCTCATAAGGAGCAGGAGGGAAAATGAGGTCGGAAATGCAAGGGCTTTTCCCAGTGTCACTCATTTGCAGAGAGGAGATGGATAGATAAATAAATAGATAGATAGATAGACAGACAGACAGATAGAACCCCTGGATAGTGCTGTCTTCTACAGCTGCAACCTCAGTTAAAAACTATTCTGGTTTCTTTATGTGTAGCAAGTGCACCTTGCTCATACCAATGATATCCAAAACAGGAGGTGTGCCCAGTACCAGGCCTATTCCATCTAACTACGTGCAATTAGCTGACATAATTAAACAAGGAAACAAGTTACCACAGGCACTATCTCTAATCATTCATGATCATAGACTACCTCAATCAATGTCCAAGTTGCCCTTTAGAATAACCTAGTCTTGCCAGTTAGACAAACTAATTCCCTTCTCTCCAACCACTCTCTTTCACTTCCATTCACCATCAAAAATTCTTTCTTCTTGTGTTCATGTTTTTTTGCTACCCTACTATTACCAGCTTCTTTTTTTGCTTTAAATATCATAGATATAATTTTTAGTCTGAATTTATTCTCCACCTAATGGATGTCCCATTTTTATTCTTCTTTATTTAGAAAAAGGGGTAGACAAAGGATACTATAGTATAGGAGCCAGACTGATCCGGCTAGAGGATAAGGTAAGTGCATGAAAGCTTGCTTTTTTTTTTCCTGAGTCATGATATCTGATCTACAGACATGCAAGATAGTATCTTGGCGTGATTTACTTTAGAATTACAGGGCACCATAATAAAGAATAATATAATTTTTGTAAGGGAGTTGATGAAGTATCATGTACATGTTGTTCAGCATTAACCATTTACCTGCCATGCAGATTTGGTTCTCGAGTATAAAAGGAATTGCTTTCATATTGAAGCCAAATCACACATTTTGTATATAAGTACTGTGAACTAACAAGGTATTTGCCAGGCAAGTATTAGTGACTTAAACAGAAAGTCCAGTATCAGGAGTCTTTGTAAATAGCAGCAGTTGATATCTCAGTTAAGGATCTTGAGATTCTTTAATGTTTACTGCATTTTTTTCCCTGTGCAACTATCTTTGCATCAATTCTACCCCTCCCTCACTGTTTTCTCTCCAAGAATATGTTCATATTTCTCATTAATTAGAGTTACTTAGAAGTATGCCTGGAGGCCAAAGCTCAGTGAGGCGCTATTGTTTTAGACCTAATATAAACTTCCTCAAGAGCTTTTCCTACTCAAGTGATAACAAAAAAAGAAGTTTGCTTAAAATTAAGGCTCTATTTCTCTAATAGTGTTTTGGTCAGCTCTCTTATCTACCTCTAAAAGCTACCTACCCCTAGAACAGGGTGATTTCTGTGGACAGTAGCAACACAGTAGCTTTGGTGTGTGGTATGATGTAGCAGCTGAGACAAAAGTCCATTTGAATTTACCCTATCCACTGCTTATTTGTATCCTTGTCTCACTCAAATTTCTCATGCAAATTTTCCTTTCACTTCTTTCTGGGGAAGTGAGATGAGAAGGAAAGAGGAAGGAAAATTCTCATAATTCTTAAGAACTGTGCATCTTGCCAAAAAGCAGAAATTGAAATTAAACTAATACAATCCCTTGCCTAATTTTTAATGATCTTTGCTAGGACAACATTGGAAATATGTAACACTGCATGTCAAAGAAGAGATTTTCTTTAATTTTTAGCCTTCTTGGACAGTGCCAGAGAATCAGCTTCACAGATAAGGACAAATCATCTGAGTTAACTTTTGAAGTGGATTGGTCCCTTGTGTGGACAGAGTTGTTTAAAGTGAAAATGGTTTTCATTCAGATTGCCTTAATTCACTTCAAAAGAGATAAATTCCTCTCTAGCCTCTGTATATTCTGTAAATTCACACCACTAGTTTGTTCAGATTTCTTGAATATGCAAATTTGGAGAAACCCACAATACAAAATTGAAAATTTAGCAATAAAAGTATCTGTGATATCAGTTAGAGTGCTTTGAGTGAGAAATACTGCTGGTATTGTAAATACCTCTGGAAGCAGTTTTTCATGGTCTCCTGACTGCTCCATATTTATGAAGAAGAGAGGTGAGAAAGTATTTAGTGTGTCTGGCAGTGGTCCAGCTTTAGCACAATCTGCTGTGGATTTGGTAAACTTTATTTCAAATCCTTACTTGGAGTACTTCAGAGGGATCTTGGTATAAGAAGAGGAATGTTACAGGAGATACTAGTGTATGCCATGAGTGCTGCAGTGACTGATCTCTGTTGCATAGACCTGCTTGTGTTCTGCCTTTACAGCTTAAGTCTGCCAGAAAACTGAACTCTAGCTGATTCGAAGAGTTATCATTTTCATCAATACTGCCTTGATGTAAATGTTTAGAGATGATGAAGCCACATGGTTTCACCTTCTCATGTTAAATATCTATTGAAAGCTTGTGGTAACAAGTCTGTAGCGTGGACTCACAGCAATATTTTCAGAACAACAGCCATGCAAATTAAAAAAAAACAACAGTGGTGTAGCCACCTCAACTTCATTTAGACATGATCTAAATATAGTGCAAGCTCAAACCATTAGTGTGGGCAGGACCTAGCTGCTATTTTGTTTAAGGAGTTCAACTTAGTTCTTTAAGTATTGTATGGAAGCTGGTGAATTCTCTCTCTCCGCTTATTGTTCTGCAAAAAAATGCATAGAAAGGAATAAAAATCTGTTGAGATGTTTTCATAAGATGACTCAATCATTGCAGCTTCCTTTTTCTTCTCAGACCAAACTACAAATGTAAAATAAAATGCCAGACTCCAAGGTAATCCAGGTTATTTGTTTTTTTTCAGTACACATTAACCTTCTTTCAGGGGTACAGGGCTTCATTCTCATAGTCCTGCCAGGAAAATAGACGTGGTGCAGAAAAAGCACAGACATTTGTTGTGTTGGTTTTTTGGGGGATTTTAGTGGCATAGGTTTTGGTTTGTTTGGGTTTTTTTTTTTGTATTTGCATCTTTTTGGCACATTAGGCTAAAATGTGTGTGTTTAATGAATACGAAGGTTCCTACCTTTCTCTGTTCTAATGTGACAATAGAAACTACTGCACCGTGCTGTCAGACTGCTTCCCCTAAACTATTTTCCCATGTCTCATGGGCTCTCCTGTTCTAATAGTTCACTGTGTAGTAGCTGCTATGTGCCTAAATGTGAAACAATATTGGAGTCAAAAGGATGAGCTGAGTTTCAACCTCTGAGGAGAATAAATGAAGCAAGGGCATGTCTGACATCAGGCTCCAGCTGGTGGTGAAAAATGATCTCCCCCTTGGAACTAGGAAACCTTTGGGATCAGCCTCTTCCCCCTGGAGAAATTATTTTATCATTCAGTCACCCAGTATAGTCATGGCAGCCTCCCAACAGAGTGACACATCTGATAAAATGATACATTTTTGGACAAAGGCCAGTTAGTGTAGACTGATAAAAATGCAGTGTGGATTTGAGCATTTCATCTGCTTTAATAAGCTGTATCAATAAGTGAATACTACACCTCTGGTCCAGACTGATCCTTCCCACCAGCATTTTGCAGTTCATTTGTTTTAGTTGTTTCTCTGAAAGGGAGTCAGAATGTACTATACTCATTCAGAGCTGTGCGTTTTTCAACGTAAAGTGATAATTACTCTTTTTGTGAATTGAGGGAGAGAAAGTTGCACATTTCTGATGGTTAAGATGAACTTCATTCCCTCAAGAGGCTTGCTATTATTTCAGTTAAAATGTGGGGTTTGCTGTACAGAAAGGCATAGGCGCAGATCTCTGAAGCGGTTGCTTAGTGATAGGTAGAGGCTTTGAGGTGAAGATTCAAAGATAGCAGCCTTCCATTCATGTGGCATGAGCAATATTGCCTGCAGCCTCTGTTTTGTGACTATCCAGCTCCTTATGTAACTTTGAGGGAACAGGGGAGAGGTAGAACAAGTCTGTGTAGGATGAAGCACCGTGCGGGTCCAGCATAAAGCAGAGTTGAAATTTACTTTGCCTTCAAGCATTGCAAAGCTCACTGGAAAGGGGTAAAATGCATGGTGACAGTTTTCAGGCAATATGTAAACCCCTTTTTGGCAACATCAGTGCTGTGTAAGGCTTTACTCCTTTCAGTGACATAGAATGTTGCATAGTGTAAGTTTACCCGTAACACTTTTCAACCTGTTTTTCCATGAGTAGGGTATGAAAATCTTATTTTGTTGTGGTCAGCATAATAACTTAGTGTGGTTCTTTTCACAAAAACACTGAAATGTTTAGAGAAAGAATGAGGCTTCTTTCCCAACACGTGATGTGTGCCACTTGGCCGACCCCTTCTTTAGTTTGATGGCAGGGTTTAATTTTATATTGTGGTATGTAGCCATTGACAGATTCTTTTGAAATGTATTAAGAGGGAGATTGGTTCCAAGACAATGTTCTAGAGCTGGCGTTAGTTTCTTTTCAAAATTGTAAACTAATGCTTCTTTATGATGAAATGAGTATTCTTTCTTTTCCTTTTCTTTTCAAAATTAGAAACAAAAATCATGGTGTGCTGTGTCATACTGCACTGCAACTTATAAATAAAAACAGGAGAGAAAAGAATCTGCAAATGAAAGGTTAGAAAGGACAGCTGTGTTGTCTTTGAAAAAGAAATCTATTAGGTATTTTTATAATTATATGGCAGTCTTCTTCATGTGGTATTTGCAGTTATGATTTACGTCCATATTACCATAACTGTTTCCATACTTATAGACAACATGTGATAATGCTGTGAGCCAAAAGCAGCCATTTGGTAGCATTTAAAAAATGCAAAAACACTAAGAGAAAGCAGGGCAGTAAAGCAGAACCCTTCTGAGTTTTATCCATCTCAGTAATGCAAGCCAGAACAAAAGTGTTGTCCAACATAAACAAATGTAGAGGTTGGATTGTGGTGGTAAACTCTCTCTTTACCAATTTAAACACTCATTTTAGAGTTGGGAGCTAAAAAGATGGGCTCAGAGAAGAGTGGTATTTCCCTACCATCTTGTTCCTCCTGGGTAACAATGGAGAGATGGATGTTAGTGAATCTCATTCCTGCTGTGATTACATCAAGAGTCATTAAACAGTAAACTATTTATCATGACAGTGCCTACAAGCACCACCATAGTGAAGGCCTGGTCAGAATTTCCATTCTAAATGCCCAGTTTGTGGGTGAGGGGATGGGCATCACTGAAATGCATTAAAAAACAACAAACAAACCATAAGCAAAACAAAAGCCCCAAACAAACAAACAAAAGGTGAATATTGGTGCATGATGAGACAGTTGTAAAATGAGCATGCTACATCCATAAGATTTCATGAATATGTCTGAAATAAACACATTTATTAACAAAAACATGTTTTGGCACTAAGGAGTTTGTGCATTGTTTTCCCTCAGATTTCTAAAGCTTGAGTCATTCCATAATATAAAGTTTTTCAGAAGGCTTTTTCCAAATGGGTGTTGTGTGCATTTTCTTAGCTACTTAGGTCAAAGCCTTTTCTCATTTACTCTGGAGCAGTACAGCATAAACACATTGATTCTGCACCATAAGCATGATGTCACTGGATTTTTATTTTCAACCTGTTACCAAATTAAAACAAAACAAAACAAACAAACAAAACAAACAAACAAAAAAATAAAAGCCCTGATGCTTCAAGCCAAATTGTGTTTC